CCGTGCTCCTGTGGTTTGCCTTGCTCTGTATGTGGTCTGCCGTTCTCTTTTGGGTCTGGTCTGCCGTGATCCTGGGGGTCTTGCCGTGCTCCTGTGGGGTTTGCCGTGCTCTGTGGGCGTCTGCCGTGCTCTTGCGTGGGCTGCGGTGCTCGTGTGTGGTCTGCCGTGCTTCCTGTGTGGTATGCCGTGCTCCTGTGTGGCATGCCGTGCTCTCTGTCTTGGTCTGCATGGCTGCCGTGCTCCGGTTGGTCTGCCGTGCTCTTCTGTGGTCTGCCGTGATCCTATGGGGTCTGCCGTTGTTCGGCCGTCTTGAGGGCACTCTTCCTGCATCGTCTGCCGTGCTCCTCGTCTTGGTCTGCCGTGCTCCTCGTCTTGGTCATCCTTTCCGTCGTCTTGAGGGCGCTCTTGGTGCCTGGTCTGCCGTGCTCCTCGTCTTGGTCTGCCGTGCTCCTCTCGGTTCCTAAGCCTGGTCTGCCGTGCTCCTCGTCTTGGTCTGCCGTGCTCCTCTCGGTTCCTGCGCGCGGTCCGCCGTGCTCCTGTGGGGAGCACGGCAGACCACAGGAGCACGGCAGACCACACAGGAGCACGGCAGACCACACCTCGATTTTTTGAGGATGTCTCGAGCGAAATGGTTTGCCCCCCAGGATAACTTCTTGACGTGTTGCTGGTTTGCCCCCCATCAGCACCTTCTTGACGTGTTGCTGGTTTGCCCCTTCGGGATAACTTCTTGACGTGTTGCTGGTTTGCCCCCCAGGATAACTTCTTGACGTGTTGCTGATTGGTCCCCTGGGTAACTTCTTGACGTGTTGCTGGTTTGCCCCCCAGGAGCAAGGCAGACCACACAGGAGCACGGCAGACCACTTTGCGATTTTTTGAGAATGTCTCGAGCGAAATGGCCGTGGTCTGCCGTGCTCCACACGTCAGCACGGCAGACCACCTGCTCATTTTCTGAGGACGTCCCGAGCGAAAACGTCATTTTTGACATAAGAGGTTCTAAAACACCTCTGTCGGCATCTCATTTTTTCGAGGATGTCTCGAGCGAAACGCTCATCTTTCATGCATAACAAAAATTTTTGATATTTTTCAACATCCAGATGTTTTGAGGATGTCTCGAGCGAAACCGTCATTTTTGACATAAGACGTCTTAAACGACAGCCTCCAACACCTCGATTTTTCGAGGATGTCTCGAGCGAAATGGCCATTTTGGGGGAATCCACCACGAAACCTGACCGGACAAGAACGGGAAGGTCCTCTGCTGCCTGGGCTTTCTACATAGTGAAAATGAGATATTCCACGTTTGGTAGTCAAATAGAGTACGGCATACAACAGCAGTGCCACGTACCACTGCCGTGCTCCTTTGGGGTCTGCCGTGCTCCTGTGGAGTTTGCCGTGCGAACGTGTGGTCTGCCGTGCTCCTGTGTGGTCTGGCGTGCTCCTGTATGGTCTGCCGTGCTCTTGGGTGGTTTGCCGTGCTCCTGTGTGGTCTGCCGTGCTCCCGTGGGGTCTGCCGTGTCCTGTGTGGTCTGCCGTGCTCCTGTGTGGTCTGCCGTGCTACTGTGTGGTCTGCCGTGCTCCTTCTTGGTCTGCCGTGCTCATGTGGTGTCTGCCGTGCTCCTGTGCGGTCTTCCGTGCGAACGTGTGGACTGCCGTGCTCAAAACCAGCAACACGGGAAGAAAGTTACCTGACGGGGCAAACCAGGGCAACACGTCAAAAGGTTATCCTGAGGGGGGGCAAACGAGCAAACACGCCAAGAAGGGCTTGAGGTGGTCGACCACAACACTCAAGAAGTTACCCTGAGGCCCCCCCCCCCCTGAGGCGAAACCAGCCACTCGCCAAGAAGTCATCCTGAGGGGGCAAACCAGCAACACGTCAAGAAGGTGCTGAGGGGACAAACCAGCAACACGTCAAGAAGGTATCCTGGGGGGGGCAAACCAGCAACACGTCAATGCGGTATCCCGGGGGGACCAAACCAGCAACACCACTGCCGTGCTCCTGTGTGGACTGCCGTGCTCCTGTGGGGTTTGCCGTGATCCTGTGTGGTCTGCCGTGCTCCTGTGCGGTCTGCCGTGCTCCTGCGGGGTTTGCTTTGCTCCTGTCGGCTCTGCCGTGCTCGTTTTGGGTCTGCCGTGTTCCTGTTGGGTCTGCCGTGCGCTTGTGTGGTCTGCCGTGCGCCTGTGTGGTCTGCCGTGTTCCTTTGGGGTCTGCCGTATTCGTGTGGGGTCTGCCGTGCTCTTGTGTGGTCTGCCGTGCTCCTTTGTGGTCTGCCGTGCTCCTGTGTGGTCTGCCGTGCTCCTGTGTGGCCTGCCGTGCGCTTGTGTGGTCTGCCGTGCTCCTGTGTGGTCTGCCGTGCTCCGTTGGGGTCTGCCGTATTCGTGTGGAGTCTGCCGGGTTCCTGTGTGGTCTGCCGTGTTCCCTTTGTGGTCTGCCGTGCTCCTGTGGAGTCTGCCGTGCTTCAAAAATTTTTGATATTTTGCAACATCCCGATTTTTTGAGGATGTCTCGAGCGAAACCGTCATTTTTAACATAAAACGTTTGAAACGATAGCCTCCAACATCGCGATTTTTCGAGGATGTCTCGAGCGAAACGGCCATTTTGGATCATAACAAAAAATTTTGATATTTTGCAACATCCCGATTTTTTGAGGATGTCTCGAGCGAAACCGTCATTTTTAACATAAAACGTTTGAAACGATAGCCTCCAACATCGCGATTTTTCGAGGATGTCTCGAGCGAAACGGCCATTTTGGGGAACCTGACCGGACAAGAACGGGAAGCGTCCTTTTGTCCCCTGGGCTTATGAGATATTCCACGTTTGTAGTACGGCCTACCACAGCAGCGCCACGTACCACTGCCGTGCTTCTTTGGGGTGCGCCGTGCTGCTGTGGAGTTTGCCGTGCGAACGTGTAGTCTGCCGTGCTCCTGTGTTGTCTGGCGTGCTCGTGTGTGTTCCGCCGTGCTCCTGTGGCGTCTGCCGTGCTCCTGTGTGGTCTGCCGGGCTCCTGTGTGGTCTGCCGTGCTCCTTCTTGGTCTGCGGTGCTCCTGTGCGGTTTGCCGTGCTCCCGTGCTGTGTGCTGTGCGAATGTGTGGCCGGCCCGGGCGCTGGCCCGGCCAGGTACCCCGTTCCGCTGTTTTATACTGCAGTACTCAGAGTTGTTCGAAGCGAAGTAGCAACGGCGTCTTCCGAACAAGCAGCAGTGTGACGCTTACCGAGAGAGACCCAACCAGCCTCTGCACGATAGGGACAGCTCAGGGAAAGCGCCGAAAAAAGGATGCTCGAATAACATAAACCCTTCATGGCTGGTAGTGTCTAAATGAGGACTCTGTACAGCTTGCAGCAGCGCGGTGAAATCGTCTTTTAGGACGTCTGGACCTTGCGAACGGGACTGTTGAACCCACCTGTGCGGCCTTGCTATGGGTCCGTGAAATGAGTTCCACTCATGCTGCGCAGCTGCGCCGTCGTTGCCAGCAGGCAACTTCAAGCAAAACATCGGGCTCGCAGCAAAAGCGCATAATTCGGCAGCAACGCTCGTTGCCATCTGCAAGCCCTTCACCCGAGCGAGCAAGTTTGCCTGCAGATTGTGCTGGTGCGGCAGCTCCATCGCGAAATACATATGTAAAAGTTCCGACGGTTTGCCGTCCACTGTGCTCACGATGGTCGCAGCGATTCTAGTGCTGCCGCAATGCTTTCTATGGAAGAGCTGTCCGCCGATGTGAAGCTCGTCGCACTTATGGCGGACCAGCTGATATCGAACGTCAATGAACGCGCTGCCGCGCGAGCTCATGAATCTCTCGAAGATCTTCTGTCCGAGAGTGATGAGCCGTACTCACACCAAATGCACTAAGAGTTCGGACAGTCAGCAAAGTGCACTTGACAGCCCACATCGCAATCGCGCTATCCGCTCACCAGGGCAACCAGCGCCCGCCTTCAGTATTGTGAGGGTAATGTAACACAGGTACAAAATGGTTGCGATTCTCTCTGGCAACGGTGATCCGTCGAGGGGCAGATGGGTTCCCGAGAACGACGCCGCTTCCGTCGTAAGCGAGGTCCATCACGCGCAGACAGTAATGAGACTCATCGACATTCTGAGGCCCTGCACGCGCATGTTGCCCGATGCTCCGAAGCACGGCGGACCAGTGATCTGTACTCAAATAGTTCCGCGGGTAGACTTTCATGCAATTGCCCGTGCAGGCATCAGCGGTGGGAGAGCAGCCGACCCCGCACACGCGCGGGAATTCCACCTGCAAGCTTGTCCTGACAGCGTCCACGTCCGTTGCGATTTCCACACACTGCTCTAAGGAGTACACGAAGCAGTTGCAGTCATGGCCATCAGCGACACCCAAGTAATGATAACCTTCTCCAGGGATGTGCACAATCCGACGTCCCTCAGCATCTCTGCCTTCGCGTTGCCACTGAAATTGCGTACGGTGCCTCCTCCGACCTCGAAGATCGCGAAGAAACCTTTGCGTGTCGAGCATGTCATCCGCGTTCGGTGTCCACGCGAGCTGTCCGCGGTCTCGACCGAAATAAGGACATAGGGGGCTAGTGTTGTCGCGGTGGCAAGTCTTCATACAGCTTTGACATCCGTCGTCACGGTCTTCGCAGCAGCGGTGGCTGTACTGCAAACACGTGCCCGGGGGGGCAAGTGAGGAGTCTGCAGAGGCGAACCCGGCACTCTGTGCGTTGACGGAATCGTCGCGGCTGCCAAGGCACGTCGGAGAGAAGTTCCAGCACCGATGTCGACCACAGGAATGGCAGCCATTGCGCCTCTGAAATCCTGAGCACTCTGGGGAACCGGCAGCAACGATCTCGCCGAAACTGAGGCAGAATTCACAAGGTTTATCTTGGCAGAGAACACTTGTGCAATCTGTGTGACACATGCGGGAACACGAGCGACATCCAAACTCTTTGTCAATCGCGCAGACATGCGTGTATTCTGTGCACATGTGGAGGCGCGGCTTTCTCATATTCTCCGCGGCAGTCTTGCGTCCCTCGTCGAGAGCCGGGCTCGGCGTAGATCTTGGGGGGCACACCCTGGCGCTCTTAGCTGGTCTCCCGGCAGCGCCTCCGTCGTCGACGACCCTTGCCATCTTATCCGTCCGTGCACTCTTAGCGGGTGGATAAAGTTCGCGAGAATAAGATTTGCCAGGGCCCACCGCAGTCTTCGCGCGGAGGCGTCTCCGAGATCCCTCGGCCCGCGCAGGTGGTCCTGCAGGCTCGTCGTCAGAAGCATCGTGCACACCTGTGCCTGTTGACACTTGCTGCGAACAGGCGGCCTCTGGTCGTTTCGCTCTCGCCGCGGCGACTGCCGCCGCCTGCTTTGGGCCACCGTTCCTTGCCAACACGCTGTTCCAGATCTCGGCGCGGATGCTGTCAGGAATGTGGAGGTCGTTCATGTTCTTCATACGTTGGATGAGCTCGCCCAACGCACACTCCTGTCAGCGAGCCATACGGGGGAGGGTGTGGGAAGTGAGTGCACGATATGTATTGCTATTGGTGGCTAATACCGTTTCTTATAAGAAAAACTAAAACTTCAAATACGTTTGGAACGGCTGGAGTCCTCCAGGTCCTTCAGCCTCTCCAACTCTCGTGTAAGGAAAGCAGGCGGCGGCCTTTCCAGCTCGTGTTTCTCGGCGGGACGAAGAATAAGCAGACCCTCTAACGATCTCGGCCGCGACAACATAACGTAACAGGCAAGCCAGTGGGTGTCCGCATCCATTGTCGGCGGCTTCTTCATGTCCACTATCGCCGCGTCGAACGTGCCGCCCTGTGCGCCGTAGACGATGATAGTGTCGGCGGGGAGAACTTTGAAAGTGGTACGGCGTACGCTGAATGTCTCCTCCTCCCAAGTCGCGCTTAAGTACGCACACGTGGGGCGCAGCTGAAACAATCCTTTGCGGTCCGTCGTGACTGGCATGTCGTCTGGGAAGTGTGACTCGTCCAACGTCCACGAGACATCCGCCGCTTGCAGCCACAACGATACTGGCATGCAGCGCAAGTGGACCACATTATCCCCCTCGTTCGGCTTTGGAAATGTCTCGCTCTCCGAGAAAACTATATGCCGAACTGTGCGCGCGCATCCTTTCATAATGCCGAGGCGCGGACAGTCCTTACGGGTACTGAAAAGACAAGATGAACACGGCAGACGCCAACTCCTGTGGTGTCTGCCGTGCTTCTGTGGTCTGCCGTGCACCTGTGGGGTCTGCCGTGCTCCCGTGGGGTCTGCCGTGCTCCTGTGTGGTCTGCCGTGCTCCTGTAGTCTGCCGTGCTCCTGTGTGTCTGCCGTGCTCCTGTGTGGTCTGCCGTGCTCCTGTGTGATCTGCCGTGCTCCTGTGTGGTCTGCCGTGCTCCTGTGGTCTGCCGTCTTCCTATGGGGTCCGCCGTGCTCCTTTGGGGTCTTCCGTGCTCCTTTGTGGTCTAATGTGCTCCTGTGTGGTCTGCTTTTGCTTCGTGGAGTCTGCCGTGCTCCTGTGTGGTCTGCCGTGCTCCTGTGTGGTCTGCCGTGCTCCTTCTGTGGTCTGCCGTGCTCCTGTGGGGTCTGCCGTGCTCCTGCGTAGTCTGCCGTGCTCCTTTGAGGTGTGCCGTGTTCCTTTGGGGTCTGCCGTGCTCCTTTGGGGTCATCCGTGCTTCTTTTGGGTCTACTGGGCTCCTGTGTGGTCTGCTTTGCTCCTGTGGAGTCTGCCGTGCTCCTGTGCGGTCTGCCGTGCTCCTGTGTGGTCTGCCGTGCTCGTTTTGTAATCTGCCGGTCAGCATTTTCTTGACGTGTTGCTGGTTTGGCCCTCAGGATAACTTCTTGACGTGTTGCTGGTTTGCCCACAGGATAACTTCTCGACGTGTTGCTGGTTTGCCCCCTCCGCACCTTCTTGACGTGTTGTTGGTTTGCTCCCCTCAGGATAAATTCTTGACGTGTTGCTGGTTTGCCTCCTTCAGGCCAACTTCTTGACGTGTTGCTGGTTTGCCCTAGGATAACTTCTGGATATGTTGCTGGTTTGCCCCCTCAGCCCTTCTTGGCGTGTTGCTGGTTTGCCCCCCCCCCCCTCAGGGTAACCTCTTGACCCCCCCCCCCCCCCCCCGGGATAACCCCTTGACGTGTTGACGTGGTGGTTACCCCCCAGGATAACTTCTTCACGTGTTGCTGGTTTGCCCCCTCAGCACATCTTGACGTGTTGCTGGTTTGGTCCCCTCGGGATACCGCATTGACGTGTTGCTGGTTTGCCCCCCCCAGGATAACTTCTTGACGTGTTGCTGGTTTGTCCCCTCAGCACCTTCTTGACGTGTTGCTGGTTTGCCCCCTCAGGATGACTTCTTGGCGAGTGGCTGGTTTTGCCTCAGGGAAACTTATTGAGGTGTTGGTGGTCGACCACCTCAGCACCTTCTTGGCGTGTTGCTCGTTTGCCTCCCTCAGGATAACCTTTGACGTGTTGCTGGTTTGCCCCGTCAGGATAATTTCTTGACGTGTTGCTGGTTTGCCCCCCCTCAGCATTTTTTGGACGTGTTGCTGGTGTGCCCCCTCAGGATAACTTCTTCACGTGTTGCTGGTTTGCCCCCCCATGGATAACTTCTTGACGTGTTGCTGGTTTGCCCCCCAGGATTATTTCTTGACGTGTTGCTGGTTTGCCCCCCTCAGCGCCTTCTTGACGTGTTGCTGGTTTGCCCCTTCGGGATAACTTATTGACGTGTTACTAACCCCTTCGGAAGACAAACATGACAAACCACAGAAACACAGCATACCACCGCAGGACGGCTGCCGCATAATGCTCCTGTGGACTGCCGTGCTCCTGCGGTCTGCCGTGCCCCTGCTGCCTCCCCCGTACGAGGGTGCAAGGAGCGGAAAAAGACGAGGCCGCTGGAGAGAAGGAGAAGGAAGGAGCACGGACAGGGATCATTTCCAGAACACCCCGTCCTTCTCCTGGAACGTCAACCGCATCCCGACGTACAGTGGAAGTATGCCTGGCAAGCTTTGAGTGTCTCGGGGCGACGCTCTGCGCAAAAGCTCTTCCCTGACGTGTGGCATTTTGCGATCATCTTTCGAATGCACCGCCTCATCCCTGGCCTGTACGATGTATAGCGGCTTATGCCCACAAGACGTAGCTGCCTTGGCGTTCACGAGCGAGCGATGCACGCGGATCTTGTGGCGATGAACAATGAACTGCCACTCGTATTTACTGAA